GGTCCTATGCGTGCCTAGCGAAGTATTTGGTCTATGTTTGCCGGCTAGGTGTTCTTTTATGCAGACACAGAGGGTTCTGCCCGTTTCGCCAATGTATTTGTCTCCGCACGCCTTACAGGAGATCAGATAAACTATACCCGAGCTCATGCAATCACGTCTTTACCACTGGGGCAAATTATGCAATTTTGCATTGCACATAGACGGTCATATAGGCGGTTACGAACTCGGTGGCATTTCAACTACGTTTACCGAATTCTCTAGACCCGCCCTTCCTGAGCAGCGTTTTATAGCTGTACTTATATCATTTGAGATGATGGGTAGGATAAACGGGACCCTTCTATCGCTAGAGTTGTTGCTTGGAGGCCTACGATTTCCTCTACACCTATTCTGAGCTACAGTTTCGTAGCCATTAGAAACGGCTATTTGCCGTGCCAAGTTCCGACCATTTCTAAGATAACCTTGCGTAGGGTCGCATGTGGTTTACATGAACTTCAAGATAGACTCCGCAAAAAAGCTAGAGATGAAGCGCTAAATAGGTGCGAACAACAACAAATGGGGGCCCTACCAATAGCACCATTTCCCCCAACGTTCTTTAGACAGCAAGAGCCCAATAATGAAGTTGATGTCAAATTTCGGATGTTTGCGAATGAAACTCTCAAAGTCCTTAATCACTATCGCGCGAAAAGATACAGCTCCAACCTCACTCCAGTGCAAAAACGTGGTATGCGAGAGGTACGAGACCTGATAAGGTTGAAAAACCATAAGACTTTCCGTTAGTGATAAGGGTGGAGAGTTTGTCGTAATTCCTCATCAGTTAGATGTGGAGATAACGAAAAAGCATCTTGAAGATGCTTCGCTTTATCGCCCATCATCTGAGGAGGAATTCAAAAGTAAATACCGAAAACTAAACCACGAATGGGCCAAAATGGCAAGGGCTGCTGGTTTGAAACCATCAGTTATCTCTCAACTTAAAGTTGCCTTACCAACATGCCCCGTCTTGTACTTACTTATAAAAACTCATAAGTTAGTATCCAGCGATGATCTTGCGTCTAACGATCCATCACTATTTAAGGTTAGACCTATAATTAGCTGCGTAGACGGGCCAACGGACAGGATAACATGGTTTTAAACCCTAATATTTAACCAGTTGTTGAAACACATTCCAGTCCACCTTACGAATACCCAGATGTTTCTGGATCGTCTACGTACTGCGCAGCCCAACAGCGCGTGCATGATGGAGTCCTTCGGCGTTACCGCCCTTTATACAAACGTGTCGAATGACTCCGCAATGCAAGCCATATTCGAACTCCTTACACAACACGAAGGAGAAATAAACATGTATGGCTTCAGGATAGAGCACCTGATGGCACTCTTAAAAGAATGCTTGAGCTGCTCAATCTTCAGATGGTCTGAAAAGTATTACGCTCAAATANTTTAAGGTTAGACCTATAATTAGCTGCGTAGACAGGCCAATGGATAGGATAACATGGTTTTAACCCTAATATTTAGCCAGTTTTTGGAACACTTTCCAGCCCATCTTGCGAATACCCAGATGTTTTTGGATCGTCAACGTACTGCGCAGCTCAGCAGCGCGTACGTGATAGAGTCCTTCAATGTCACCGCCCGTTATATAAACGTTTTGAATTACTCTGCAATGCAAGCCATATTCGAACTCCTTATACAACACGAAGGAGAAATAAACATGTATGGCTTCAGGATAGAGCACCTGATGGCACTCTTAAAAGAATGCTTGAGCTGCTCAATCTTCAGATGGTCTGAAAAGTATTACGCTCAAATAAGAGGATTGACAATGGGACAACGACTGGCGCCAAGTCTTGCCATTGCGTTTATATCTAAGGTGGAAGCACCGGTTATTGATCTCGGGCTGCTACTCTACTGTAGATATATAGATGACTGTTTTGTCCTTTGCTCGACACAAGAAGAAATGGACAAGTGTTTCGAGTTGTTGAATAAACAGTCAGAGTATATCAAGTTCACCCAAGAAAAACCGAAAGAAAAATGGCTTCCATTCCTGAACGCCCAAATTAACCGATCAGAAAATGGCTACATTACGAAGTGGTACTGAAAGCCAAGTAGTAAAAATATCTTGGTTCATTACCTCTCCTCTCACCCCTCTCACACGAAAAGGGCGCTTATAAGAAACATGTTTCGAACAGCAACCAACGTGTGCACGGGAAGAGAGCAGAGAGAGGAGTCCCGGAACTTGGCACGGCAAATAGCCGTTTCTAATGGCTACGAAACTGTAGCTCAGGATAGGTGTAGAGGAAATCGTAGGCCTCCAAACGACAACTCTAGCGATAGAAGGGTCCCGTTTATCCTACCCTTCATCTCAAATGATATAAGTACAGCTATAAAACGCTGCTTAAGAAGGGCGGGCTTAGAGAATTCGGTGAGCGTAGTTGAAACACCACCGAGTAATCTTAAGCGCCAGCTAGTTCGTAACCGCCTATATGACCGTCTATGTGCAACTCAAAATTGCATAATTTGCCCCAGTGGTAGAGACGGTGATTGCATGAGCTCGGGTATAGTTTATCTGATCTCCTGTAAGACGTGTGGTGACGAATACATTGGCGAAACGGGTAGACCCCTCTGTGTCCGCATGAAAGAACACCTAGCCGGCAAAAATAGACCAAATACCCCGCTAGGCACGCATAGGACCCAGAGACATAACGGGGACGACTTCGAAGTATGTGTCACGATCCTCGCACGCGAATCAAGAACACAGGCGCGAAAAACTCTTGAGGCACTCTGGATTAATTCCAGAAATCCGAAAATGAACCGCAGGGAAGAATGCCTCATTATCACGCGTGATATAGGGCAGTGTATAAAACTGCTTTTCTGATGTGAGGGGCACATTATACTTCCACGTGATTTCTGTGCGGTTGGTCTCTACGTGACATACTTAGTGGACACCTCATAGAAAGCGGTGAGTGTGCAAAGCTGTGTTCAAAGTGATTGAAATCTTTGTTTGGGGTTTCTTTGTTTAGTTATGAAGGCGTCTGGCCGAGTGAGTTGCTATCAACTTGACCTTTCCAGGCTCTGAAGAAGGCGAAATCCGCCGAAACGTCAGCTTAATCGTGAACAAAGAATAGTAACACCTCGCGTTTGCTCAACAAAAATACGAAGAAAATCACTTGATCAATGCCGAGGTTAATAGAAAGTCGGTCGTGGCTGTCATTTAACAATGATATGATGAAATGAAGTTAATGCACAGTAATTACTGCGTGCAGTATGACTAAACAACTACGATAACCTACATCGGTGACACACGAGATCAATACGGTACGGATCTAATGAGCCGGCGAACCCCGACACGAGTTAGCCTGGATAACAATTAACGAGGCTATTTATATGCTTCTGGAAAAGGCGATATTTGGCACAGGTCCAGCATCTTTACTGGAAACATTTGTCGGCTACCGTCTCCATGTCCTCTCAAAACCACGTATCATCTGACGAAAGATTGCTCTTGCAAACATCTTCATTCTCTTCTTGTTATTGTACGCATGATGACTTTTGGACAGTAATAACAAACAATGAGTTCAGATTGCAAAAATAGGTTTGCATAACAAAACTGTTTACAGCGATCGAAGTTGCTAAGGATGTGATCGAAATATTTACGTACTACGACATTTGCTAGGCAACTTGAGAGCAGTGGATATGATCCTTAATACTGAAACATACAGTAGTGGATACAAATATATATAGGAAGAAATAGAAACTATTCTGGGAATATTTGCTATAAAGGCGGTGATCGGATCCAGTACAGAATCCAGTTACCAATATAGTGTTAAAGAGGCATGTGTTCCTGAGAATACGGTCGATTCCAACACGGGTCTTACCGTTAAGAGACTTCCATGTCCAATGATGATTTTCTCTCCCTTAGAGAAATAAATGTCCATGGAAGACGCACAGTAGACAGGATTCCTGCATGACAGTTTTCATTCTCATTTCGCTCTCCTATTCCAAATTTCGCCATCCCGTATTCATTTTCGTCGGTTCTTTCTATTCTGCTACAGAGCTCCCCAGCAATGAATCTATAGGACTTTTCGCTGTGGTTCACTTTTTCGAGTTGACTGTGGTAGGCGTCCAATTTGCCTCCCATTAGGTGCAAAAGTTGATTAGTAGCAGTTGATGATAGCGAATTTCTTTCGAAGCGGAAGTTGACCAAGCGCTCTGATAGAATGTCATGTTAGGTGACTAGATGAGGAAGAGGTGGATGTAGGACAAAGCTAACGTTTCCGACATTTCGTATTGAGAATTTCTGTCCACGAATGACAACGGTTCCATCATACTGGCGTATTTTGGCCTTCCTCCTATTTATCTCTTGTAGGGCGATCACATGGAACGCGGTGCGTTCAGTGGCCTCAAGAAGAGTCTGAAGGTCGGCGTCTGAAGAGACTGTTCCGACGTTACAGGTGCAGAGCAAAAAGCAGTATCCGTGGAGTGTCATCATGCATGAACTCATTTTATCCGCTTACATTGGAGCTCTGTGCAACACGAGATTTGGTCGCCTTTCACGGGTTGTCTCACTGTCCGTTGTCATAGACGGGGGCCCTCAGTGTGCGTTTACTGAGGGCGGAGCTTTACTGGTTTGGCTAATGTGGTTCTCTACAGTTACGGGGTTAGTCTGGCCGAAGCCTTCGTCTTGTCGCACCACCACATTCAGCGGCCAGATTTTGTGGATCAAAGAAAGATTTCCCAGCTTGCCACTAATTTGATAAGAGAACGGTAGCAATTCATGGTATCGGTATACTCTTAGTTCGGATTCTTAATGAAAACGTCGAACTGCTCCACAATTTGTAGGACCTGATGTGGAGGTGAACCGCTGGCACTACAATTGCGAATAAGGTGCAGCTTATCATAAACGGGTTAGCCCTTGAAGCCGCCACTATGCCAAGTTTACTGTTTAGAATGTTTGCATAATGAGCACATATTGAAAAAAAGACGAAGTGTGGAGAATAGCAATTTATTTGGGTTATCTACATAGTAACCATGTCGCCTGCAGAAGTTCCAGATGTAGTGCCCATTGTTGACGTTCCACCACTAGTCGTACCACCACCTGTTGTGCCCATAGCTGAAAGTCCTCCTGTTGTATTTCCACCTAGTGTAGTTCCACCTATCGTACCGCCTGAAATTAGGATATGTAAAGTTTGTCCTCTTATTCACCATTATTAGATTCAATTTATGACAGTCTAATTAATTGTAAATTAAACATAGTTTAGAGAAAACAAATAGCTCATGAAAAACAGACAGGTCAAACAAAAACGTGGTACGTTCTGTAAAAAGTGCGTTCGGTTAGACATATGACGAAGACAATGAGTCGTGGTAAGGGGCTTCCACAAACAAGGAATTTAAGCTCGCTAATGACAAAGAAGCTGGAATAAACGATGCGATTCATCTTCTCTTCTCTAGTGGAAAATCACGTGACTAACTGACGTTAGGGGATATAAAACGATGAAGGAAAAAGCCTTTGGCCTTGATCAACCCAGAGCAGTGCTCCTCCCATTCAACTCTAGTCGTGGCAACGTAGAGTGCGTACTTGGCCTCTAAAATCACTTGAGCTGGCCTACCGATGTATCAAGTCAGTACTCTGATCTTCCCTGACAATTCTGACGAAAATTTCCTGAACTCGGAAGGACGTAAAGCTTGGTGAGTCTGGGTGCGCGATCGAACACCAGATAACGCACATGTTGTAGGGCACCTCTAACCACGGCGCTACACGCCTCTTTGTGGAATTATATCATTGACAATTGAACACCTAATTGGATTTGGAATTGATCATTGATTTTATAGGTGTATATAGAGCAGTGAATAGAAGTGACATGCAATATCCGCATGGACACTGGGTCGATCGTGTCCCGAGATAATCAAGCCTATCATCCATTCTAAGTTGGCAATTCCGTACGAAACTTATCTGGTGGGTTAAAAAACACTGGTTTGAAACATCGGTAACTCATTGTATTGGCCAAATATACAATCAAACACATATACAATGCTACGAATAGATTCGAATGCATATTTTCACTTTATAGTAAGAAGTGTATGAGGAAGAGGAACCATACCAGCAGTTGTGGTATTACCAAACTCTGAACCCGTAACACCACCAGTAACACCAGATGCATCACAGCCGTAACGTTTGTACATTCCACGATACCTGATGGATTTTTTTTCTTAAAGCGTCATTTTGTCAACAATATACCCTACAGGTGGTTTTTAATGCAGTAATTATTATTGGCATAAAACTCGTAAATGTAAAGTTTTTTTTCGTACATTTTTGGTGAAAACAATCCACAAACCAGTCCGTGTACACAGTACGACGAGCGAGATACAGTATCGCACCAGCCAAAATCAAGGCAAGCAATGAACCGATGAAGAAACCGAAGAATATCATCCAGATCATCCAACCAGAACGCGATTTAAACTCAAAGGCTTCGGACACTTAAAGGTAGAATCAGTAGTAGTAAAGTAATGAACGGCGTTATTTTTTCCTCTTTAGTCATTTTTTTTCTGGCTTGTGACTTATTTATAAAGTACTGAAGTTAGTAAAATCCGTCGTACCAGTTCCAATGATTAAAGAAATGCTTCGTTTCTTAGTTGTGGTGACCGGCGCTACAGCGGATACGTTTGGTGTCGGGCTTGCCTAGAAACTTCACTGAATCACAGCTATCAGTTCTGACGATAATCGTTACCAGTTCACTCGTTCCTACTTTTTTATGCCATCAAAAAAAAAAACTGGATTGGATATTATTGATCCATCTCATTCTTATGTTAACAACAAGGTTTCTTTTCAGGATATTGCTTGATTTCTTTCATAATTTCCCTCCTTTCATCCTAATGTCATCGTCAACTTACCGTCGCTATTGTACCGAGTGTTGCTCGAGGTTTCGCTGTCGCGTATGTGATATATGATGATTTGTCAGTTGATACCGAATCAATTGAATTGTTTCTATCGATTTGATATACTTTACCGTTGTTCTCGCCCTGCAATTATGACTGCTGTAATACTATTTATCTCGTGCAATAATGTTTTTTTTTCCTACGTAACGCACCAAATACTTGATTCCCTTCCTTCTTATGAGGCAATCATGATGAGAGAAATACAGTACTATGTGTCCATCATGATTTACATTAGTACTGGATGTGACTCGTTCGCGGCCTACTGACCATATGGAGAACTGGAAAAAGAACTAGACACACCACACGCACACATTGCACGCACATACACACACATACACACACGCACACATGCACACACACATACACACATACACGCACACTCACCACAAACACACACATACACACATGCACACACACACAGGCACACACAAAGGTACACACCGACACACCCTTTCGCCATCGAAATCGAATCCGATTTGAGTGGGCCGAGTAGTCATTTGATCAGACATGTCTGTACCTTTGGTAGCTTTCACTAATCGAATAGGAGCACCGTTTTCTGAAAATACTCGTTTTGGAAAGTAAATGAACACTACGTTAAAGTTTTTTCTGCTATTCTAGTTCACCTCAACCTCTACTAGTTTATCGCCTCATAATGGGCTTGTGGTTGTTTCTGAGCTTCCCACCTAGAATCTTTAGCAAGGTTTGTTCCCACAGTGGGTTTACCGAAGCTGATGAGTTTGATATTTTTGTCTGATCCGTCAGTGAGGAATAAACCTAGCTACAGTTTTGCAGGCTGTTTATACAAGACTAACTAGTTTTTTCGAAAATATGATGTTCTTTGTGGCCGTCAAGAGGACGGAGCCTACCGTGTAAATCTGTCAGGCATGAAGACTGAAAATTTACAACGTGGGATGTTTGTTGCGTTTACTCACTGATCACAGGTGATAAGAGGTAAAGGTGGTTCGTAAAAACAACTTGGCATTTATAGTGCTGCTTTCTTGTTTTTTTTGTGGCATGGGTCACTGATAACGCAGTGGGAGAGATGCGTTTAGTAAAATACGCAGTGCCCTGGTTTCACACCAACCCTTCTTTCCTTCTGTGCAGGCATACTGATACCAGACTTGTATAGGAAAAGCTTTCGTCGATTCGGCGAGAGCTGTTACCGTCTATAGTAAAGATATAGGAACGGCTAACACAGCTAATCTTCGATTCCAGGAGTGATCATCTGAACTGAAATAAAGCAACATTCCGAAAGAAGACCGAGATCCTCAAACAGCAAGGGATCCACACGAAAATCTGAAAACCCTCGTCGATAATGGATGCGATGAAGAGAATCCAATGAAACAAGTGCTGGGAACCGCGAAATAATATGTTGAAAATAACGAACAGGACGACAAAAAATGTGAAGCTACTGGCGTTGATCAATCTCTGAGAGAAAATGTAGCCATACGACCTTATAAAGCGTCGTTAAAGGTGATGTAATAAATATCCAGGCTGGACAATGACTTGCAGAGGCTTACCGATCCGTCAGTGCTGCTATGCTCCCAAACAAGTCTGGTACAAATGTTCGGCGCCGAAGGGACTGATAGATTGAAGGTTTGGCGTGCCCGGAATGCAGGATATAGCCAGCGATAATGTGTATATTGCATGGTACAACCATAACGGCACTAGATACGCCCCCCATAAAAATAAATATGATAGTAGGAAAAAATCGTGGAAACACGGAAACTTCTACTGACGTGCGCCTGGCATTGTAACAAATCCGTTACGAATATAAACATTCAGAAGATCGGCATCGTCGCAAAGGAAATTATTTCCAGCAACACCCTGTTGACCTCGTAAGCAGATTCGCATCCTAAAATTTTTCGGTGAATCGGCAGATCAATCAAAGTCATAGAGCACACCTGGCAAGAAGAAGATGACTCTTAAAAAACCGATTTGCTCACCATTCACATTTAGCACCATCGACGAAAATCAGCGAAAATATGAAGAAGTTTGGTGGCATTTTATAATAGAACAATTGGCCTAGATCACATCTAAAAAATTCTGCACCGTTTTATTTGTGAAAAACATCTCTGCAAAAAACCTTTGTCTTTTTCCTTCTTTGGTTTTTTAATCGGTAACGCTGAGAAGTTTGCACTTACCCTGCATTACAGTCGATCGACTTCAACGGCTCAATTTGACCTTTGTGAAGAGATCCGCCAAATGTTAATTGATTACCACCTTGATACATTCGCTGAAGGAAAGTTTGAAGGAAAAAATATAGATTTTAGTGGTAGTATGTACTGTTATGGCATTTATAGAGCTGCCAGTAACTTCCAGTTCTTATGGTAATTAGTTTACCTTGATCTGCAGTGGCCAGATTGCATTTCGTAATACTGTATTTGGTTTTATTTACTACTATTATTTATTGTTCGGCTAGACGATGCAGCGAAGCGGCCATGAGGTCCATCTGGAAACTGGGTGCTGATTCGACCTTTTCCCAAACCTTCTCCCCAACCTACGTGGGAACGCGCTATTTTGACTATCTCCATGATTAGAAAGAGAATCAACTCGACTACCATCCTACAATATCCAAAAAGAAGATGAAAATGCCCAAACAGCAACAAACCCATACGTGAAATGTTCAAAGACGTTTACGGGCGATGAATGGAAAGAAAACGAATCGAATGCAAGAAGTGTCAGGATCCGTCGAGTAGATGTGACAACGGGTCATATAATAGCAATAATAAATAATAATTATTTGCTATTATTACTCTTACTCAGTTTACTTAAATATTCAAATGTCGCTCGCGCGCGACTGGTTCAATCGCGTGAGGGTCCCGTACTAACGAAAACCACAATCCTTTCGAAGACGGAAAAATTATACTAGACTTGCCTAAGAGGATGAAACTACTGATTTCACACATCACTAGGCAATCATAACTTATTATAGAAGCTAAATATGTATCCCATTACCTCCATGGTGCTACGAATGGAATCGATTGCAGGACGCACTTTAAGGGATTGTCTAACCTTGATCATTTATAATTCATACATGACCAAATCTTCGCTTAGTAAAACCCAATGATTTTGATATGGAACGATACTATTCGGGCAACCCGGACAACACATAAAATTCAGATGGCTCGGAACACGCGCCCAATTTGGATGACCATGTGTTTCGGCTGTATCGAAACAGCGGTAAACGATTCGCTTCAATCAGCATTGCTAATAGCAGACAACGAAGAAAACAAAGGATTCTTGAAATTCTTGGACTTTTAGTCGTTCTTCTTTCTTCAATGAATTAAGTTCAAATTGGTCATGTCGGATTTCATCACATTGTTCATCATCACTTTTTTACAACACTTGAATACTTGAATGGCCCGTCCTCACTGTTTGCGCAGGCCTCAGTATAATCTCCATTTTTCGGAGATTTGCTGGTTAAGCTATTGTGGTTTCCTAAAATTCTGAGGTCTGCCTGGCTAAAGTCTGCCCTAGGTCGTCACTACCACAGGCAGTCGCAGCCCTCGTGGATCAGAGGGAGATTTGCCACGATGCGACTTTAATACCAGGACGGTGGTGAATCCTGGTATTGGTTTCTCTTAGCTAGGCTTCCTGATGAAAACGCCGGATATAGAGAACGTTCTTCACGAATATTGGAATGTTCTCTATGTAAAACATCTCAAACCTTTTCAAACATTTCAAATGCTTATGCCATCACCTTCTCTCCATCACGATCTGATAGCCGTATGTCTAACATTTCGCTGGCGCCTATCTCGTAAAATATCTGCACTTACGGTCCTAGGCTTTGAATATCGCCCTATCAGATTGCAATGCTTAAGAAATGTTTCCAGCACTCATCTTTCCGCCTACTGTAGCCTGACTTCGTCTACTGTAGTCTGACTCCGCCGAGAGCAAAAGGCATATAAACGGCTCCACGGTTAGCTAGTTCATGTTACAGCAATGCTGCCCAAGTCACCGTATCCGTTCCTCACATTCATCTCATGTAGTAGAAGTCATATGCCAATCTTTTCACTCATAAGCAACCTGAACACCAGTGATCAGGCTGCGCCTACTTGTATCATTGTTGCACAGTTGCACTGTTATGCTATAATAGTTGTATAATTGTGATAAACGGTTTGATTACCCACGTTTGAAGTGACCGGTATTGTGACTGCTATTTAGAAGAAGACCCGCGTGGCGTACACAAAGGCGAGCAGCTAATTCCGAGCGAGTCGTCTTAACTACATGGTATTCCTATATCAACGAGCCGTCCCAACACCGGACTCCTTCTCAGCTTGGAAGACCTTGCCAATGGGGTGATTCACCCCACTGCAGATCGCAGTCCGACATCACAGAAAGAGCACCTTCCAGCCGCCTTTTAAAAACCGGATTCACATGCGCTTGAAGTATTCAGATAAAAATATGGTTTTCGAAGCGACAAATTCGTTAACAAAATAAGTGGTGAAAATTAATAACAATAACAAGGTAATAAAGTCGTAATGAACTGTCTTCACAAAAATGTTATGTTTCTGTATGATTAAATAAAATGAATGGATTTTATGATAACGAAATGATTGTGAGAAATGAATGAATTAAATGCGTGTCTCACTCGTGCATGATAGAAGGTCGGTTGGAGATAGAAACCAGGATAATTCTTTAGAACGTCCCTTATTTTCTCTGGCTTATTCTGGAATCTGAAGGAGTTGTTGTTATTAGTAGTTTATTTATGAGTCCGAATAACCAAAAATTGTATTCCTTTTCTCAGTAGTGAGCTAAATATGGAATAGATGTTAACAATGTTGCAGTTTGCTTATAACTTGGACCACTTTTCATTTGTTAATGTCATATTACTGGTATCCTTTGACCCCAAATTTTTATTCGAGTTGGAGTTTTATGGTTGCTAAATTATTCCTCACCTAGAAACATCAAGATGATCATTTTCAGGTGGGCTTAAGGTTGTCAATAACCACTCCCAGGTAGGCTTTAGGCTGTTAACAATCACTCTTAGGTTGGTTTAAGCTTGTCGATCCTCGCAGTTACCGACTGACGTGGATCGGAGTCAGGATTACGGCATTCCGATTGAGCCTTTTTGAAGAACGGTAACAATCCTCTTCATAAGTTTGCTTATAGGGGTTTGGGTTTCGGCTGAAAAGACTCTCTTACCTTCTAACCGAAAACAGTTGTAGGTTACCTAGATAGCCTCACACTAAAATAGTTATGTTCTCCCTGACCACCGAGAAAAGCGTAACCTTCTGGTCAGCTATAGCTCAAGAGACGGACGAGCGCTTACTAGTGCTCACCCGAATTACTATGATGATTAA